CGGGCGTTGGTAGCAGGGCCCCCGGCTGCAGGGAGCACCAAGGTTGCTCAAGGAAGCTGGGCTGGGTCCAAGCACTGCGGGGCCGTGGTGCCAGGAACCAGCCCCGGGGCTTCCTGGGACACCCAGGCCAGGCACTAGCACTGACAGAGTACCAGCAATGGGAACCAGCTCGGGGCACTGGCACCCAGGGCTCCCTAGGCACTGGAATCAGGGCCCCTGGCCACGCTGCAGGGAGCACCAAGGTTGCTCAAGGAAGCTGGGCTGGGTCCAAGCACTGCGGGGCCGTGGTGCCAGGAACCAGCCCCGGGGCTTCCTGGGACACCCAGGCCAGGCACTAGCACTGACAGAGTACCAGCAATGGGAACCAGCTCGGGGCACTGGCACCCAGGGCTCCCTAGGCACTGGAATCAGGGCCCCTGGCCACAAGGAACGCCAGAGCTGCCCGAGGTAGCTGGGCTGGGTACGAGTGCTGTGGATCCATAGGACATCCCAGCCAGGAACTGGCCCCAGGGCTTCCTGGGACACCCTGGCCAGGCACTGGCACTGACAGAGCAGCAGAAGTGGGTGCTATCTCTAGGCACTGGCACCCAGGGCTCCCCGGGCAGAGGTTGGCCACAGGGAACACCCAGGTTGCTCAAGGAAACTGGGCTGGGCACAAGCACTGCAGGGCCATAGGGCATCCCAGCCAAGAGCCGTCCCCAGGGCACTCCAGGGCTTCATGGGACACCCAGGCGAGGCACTAGCACTGACAGAGCACCAGGAATGGGCACCCGTTCTGGGCACTGGCACCCGGGGCTCCTCAGGCAAGATCTGACCCCAGGGAACCACAAGGCTCCCTGGGATGCAGCGGGAAAGCTGGATCAGGGACCTGCCTCAGGGGACCCCAGAATGGGCACCAGCTCTGGGGCACCTAGACAGCCTGGAGCACCCCAGGACAGCCAGGCCAGGTGCTGGCCTTGGAGCACCCCAGGACACCCTGAGCCAGGGACCAGCCTTGGGGCTCCCCAGTGCACCCCACTCAGGGACCAGCTTTGGGACACTCTACAAGGCCTGTCCCACAGAGTCAAGGACCAGCCACAAGGATGCCCTAGGACACCCTGGACATGAGAGCAGCCCTCTGGGGACCCAGAGCCCCCAGGGCACCCCACATCAAGGACTAGTCTCCCTATCTACCCAGCTCCAAGGGCATCCTTGAGCAAGCCTGCCCCCAGGGAATACCTACTTTAGGGGAACTCCCAGCCCTGGAAGGGACCCCATCACTGGCAGGAGCCCATGCATGGACCCCCGTGAAGCCCTGTAAAAGCACCTGTGCACAGACAGACCCTTCAGCTCTCCCTTAAAGAGATGTGCACAGGCTCCCTCCCTCCCTCCTTCCAAGATCATGAAAGGGCTTTGAGGACAGACCTTCCCCAGCTCTCTGCATAAAGACACCCCGAGCACAGCGCTTCCCACAGAGGGACACCATACATGTACCTTGATGTCTCCTCAGAAGTGACCACAGGCTCAAGCCCAGTCATTCCCCCCAAAAGTGGCCCTGTCTATAGGTCCTCCTTAGCTCCTTTCATGAAAGAAACCTCACCATAGGTGTACTCCAACACCTTCATAGACTCACTCCTCAAAGGGACACCATACAATAACTCAAACTTTTCTCCAGAAGGGGACATGTTGCTTATATTGATGAGGATTCCAAGTAGCCCCTTGTGCACAGACCTCCAAGCTGTCCTCACAGAGGGTCTGTCCTTTTGGAAGATAGACCCTGAGAAGAGATACTGAACTTCCCCTGGTAGCAGGACCCTTCACTTCCTTCTCTCGCCAGTTTTACCATGCGTGGAAAGACATTGTGTTACTCCCCACTGCATACAAAGTGTGAACAGACCCAGAACTTCCACCAGAAGGACCCAGAGACCCCCCCATATTCCTGCT